GCCTGACATACTCCATTCGTTTGTACGTTTTCCTACGTAAATATATATACTTCATTAAATTTCTAATTGTATAAATATACACACATGTTTGTCTATATTATTATTTACTACTTTATATATATAAATATGTCAAAAATTTTCTATTTACTTACAATTAGAAATGTATGGAAAAATATTTTATATGCATAGTAAATGAACTGTTAAATAAATAATATATATATGTGTGTGTGTGTGTATATATGTATCTATATGTATACGTAATTATATAATTTGGCTTTTATATATATACTTAAATTTAAGGAAACCGTTGTGTTGTAATAGCGGACAGTGGGAGTGGTATAAAAAAAAAAAAAAAAAAAAAAAAATATAAAAAAAAAATGTTTAGTAACTATAAATGTTGTTGATCATCTTACGAATAGATTCAAAGCCAGGATTATTTGCCAAAGATAATGAACATTTTCTTCAAATNATTCGCTAATATTATAAAAAGAAAAAAATTAAGGTTAAAAAAGAAAAAATAATAAAAAATGTACATAATTATTTATATATATATATATATATATAAATAATTATGTACATTTTTTATTATTTTTTCTTTTTTAACCTTAATTTTTTTCTTTTTATAATATTAGCGAATAATAATAGTTCATTAATTATTTATGGCTAAGTTCTTTGGCCAGGTTTAACAATCCTGGGATGAAATATTCTAACGCGTTAGGGGAGTCAAGTAAGAAGAAACTATGCGAGCTATTTTCGAGCTCGAGGAATCGTCGGCTGGATCGCAGAGTCGTTCTTGACTTTTCTTCTTCTTCTTCTTCTTCTTCTTCTTCCTCTTTTACTTATTCGATTTCTTCTTCACACACGTGGCTAAAATATTTAACAGACTTGTTTTGTTACTATTTTTAAGCAACTTCTCTTTCTTATCTCTCCCTCCGTCTCTATTTTCAATGTTAAAAGTGAAATTAGAAAAGAAAAATGATAGAAAATGTTAGAAAAATTTTGTGATTTACAAAAAAAATAGAATGAGAGACAATTTTTTACAAATATTTTATATCCCGAAGGAGGTTGAATAAAAAATAAAATGATATTGGAGATGTTAAAAAAGAATTGTTGTTTAAAGAGCAATCATATAATTGTCAACTATTTACTTATTTAAAGGACAACGAGAAATAATTTTAGAGAAAAATGTATTATTATATTATAATAATAAAAATTATTGAATAAAAGATTAAACATAGATTGTTAGATGGGTAAAAAATAAAGTGATGTAAATGGTATTAAAAAAGGAATTTTTCTGTAAAGTGTACTCAAAGTTATTAACTATTTACTAGTTTAAATATTAAACAGAAGCACTGTAATGCACTGTTGTTTTTCTTACTTTCTAATGGATTTGCTATTTCTGCGTTAGGATTCTCTTTCCCTTAAGCTAAATTCATCAACACTTGGAGGACTTCTGTGTCGTAGTAACGTAAACACATCTCGACGTTTGACCAAATTATATTTAAACATGCATGTGTTTACTTAAAAGAAAATAGTATAAACAAATTGGTCGTTTTTTTTTTTGTTTTAATTAATTCTATGCAAACTTGTCGTATTTATTATTTAACGTGACATCTCCATTGAAATCTTTTTTCTGTTTATAATATTATATAATGATTTATAAAATAGATTTTAATTATATATTGTTTCGTAAATTTTATTTAACAATTTATACATTTTTGTCTATTATTATTATTATTATTAACTTTTAACTTACATCAATTTTTTATTTAAAAAATATAAGCACACAAAAGTTGGCATAGAAAAACAACAGTAGAAAAAAGTGAAGAAGTGATCTTAATAGTTCATTAATAGCTCAATCGCAATCTATATAATTCTTCATTTTATTAATTATAATTATTTAATTAATTATTAATAATTGAAAAATCGAAAATGTTTTTTCTCATTTCTAAGCAAAGCAATGAAGTTTTCTATTGTTTTTTGTTTTCAATGAATCGCTGACTTTTTGTTTGTCCGTTTTTCTCCGGTTTTTCTAGCTCCAATACGATATCGGTTTATTTTTTAATCTAGTAAGTCTTTTTCCTGTACCTATTCCAAGACAATCATTCTTAACGAGTAAACTCCTTTAATTAATAATTAAAACAAAATATTTATATTAGATTTTTAATTGTTGTTTGCTCTTAAATGTATATAGAATTAAATTACACATTAACTTTGTGTAGACTACTTGTTATTAAAAGTTACTAGGAAATAAGAAAGTTTCAGAAATATTGAAAATCTAGTAACCTGGCTAAGACGATATCGGTAATAATAGTGCACTACTTACCATTAGAATTACCAACAGTAGAAAAATTTTCACCGTAGAAAGAAAAGAATAAATGCTCTTAATTGCTCATTTAAAATCCATAATTGCTCGCCTAATTATTTAATAATTTTTTACTGTCGGTAATTCTGTTGGTAAGTTACCATCAGATCTCGGTCGGTAAATCGTATTACCTGCGGAGAAAAATTTTCTACTGTCGGTAATTCTGATGGTAAGTAGAGCACTACTATTACCAATATCGGCTTAGCCAGGTTACTAGATTTTCAATATTTCTAAAACTTTCTTATTTCCTAGTAACTTTTAATAACAAGTAGTCTACACAAAGTGAAAATGTAATTTAATTCTATATACATTTAAAAGCATACAACAATTAAAACTCTAATATAAATATTTTGTTTTAATTATTAATTAATGAAGTTTACTCTTTAAGAACGTTTGTCTTGGAACAGGTACAGGAAAAAGACTTACTAGATTAAAAAATAAACCGATATCGTATTGGAGCTAGAAAGACCGGAGAAAAATGGACAAAAACAAAGTCAGCAATTCATTGAAAACAAAAAACAATAGAAAACTTATCTTATGGTAAACTTTATGATATGGTGCTTAGCCGGTCTGCCACTACAGTGGCTTTTTCGAATATTTTTGTCAGATGCATGTGCCAATATAGTGGCTTACTTGAGTAGCCTACTTATTCACCGTTTGAATTAAATAATCGTCTTCATAGTTATTCATATCTAAGTGAAATGTTAAAGTTTAAGTATAAACAATACTACGTTTTTTTTAGTTTATTTTTTATACATTAAATCTTATGTATTTTTAACATCATATGTCATATATTTAATATCATATTACATATTTTTAACATAATATAAAAATAAAAGTCAAATCTATTTTGAACATTTTTATCGACTAGTGAGAGGAATATCAATAGTAGTTTCAATGATTTAAAGACAGGTGCTATCACCTGTCACTTTACATAGATAATGTTGGTAAAATAGGAATTCGTATATATTTTGTATGCTGTAGATATCGATATTAGATGTAAAATAAAATTTTTTAAATAAATACACATTTTTTACATATGAGTGTATAAAAATAGAAATCTCTTTTATATTAAATTAAAATGTGAAAATAATTAATTTCTTTTATCAATTATATACAAAATATTCAAATTTTGGTATTACTTAATTATCTTCCATAAAAAATACATAATCAAAGATTCTAAACCGTAAAGTGTAAAAATATAAATTTAGATATTATATTTAATTCGTTTATATAAGTCAAATAAATTGTAATTCGAAACCAAAGAAATTCGATTTGTCATGAAATAATTAGCTCCGACCAAGTTGTAAGATCAATCAATTTTTTATGGCTGTAATCTATGGGAGTAGACGATAAAATTTCGGAAACAATTAAGCACTCGTTTAGGGTGCGGGTCGCGTGTCGTTGAGAGTCATCTTGGCCAGCATATCGAAACGTGAAAACATATGGTTTTTATACGGGAGTTTTAGAGTACCCCATATAGAATCGAGGGGATAAACGAAGAAATATTTCCTAACGAGACAAATATATTCTCATACTTACACTGAACAATGTTGGAAGTCATGAGAGAACAAAACTGAAAAGTATCAAATCTCAAATCAGATTCCTAGCAATCTAATTAAACATTCAATATTATTCGAAATAAAAATAATAAATAAAATTAATGAAACTAAAAAACTAAGAAATTCTAGTTTGTTAAAAATGATTTTAGTTGACCAACGTAGTACATACTGCGATACTGAGAATTACACTATACAAGATCGTGTCTCGTATAAAACGATTCTGACGAAAGATTACTCACCACGCACCTTTTTTTTTTCTTTCTTTTTATAGAAGGTCTATAATATGGGCCTATTTTCCCAATTTTTGTTCGCGATAAAAAAAGACAGACTTATATATATATATATAAAAAGATCATGTAATCAGAGAGATTGAAAGATATACTCTCGTAAATTCCCACCCGCAGTTATATTATATTAGAAACGTAGAGGTATACAAGGTCTTATGCGGGATCGTAGTAGTCGGTGTATCACCCTCAACCAATCAGAAAATATCATGAGAAACAGAAATTCATAGGAAAGTAAGATAGACAGAGAAAGAAATATTAGAATGACGTTCTCACGAAATATGTGGGTCCAAATAGCTCTCTCGTACGTATATTTGAAATAATCTTACAATGAATGTACCGTATGAATTAAGGAAAAAAAAAAAAAAGAAAAATAAGAATCGAATGACAAAAAAAGACACATGGCGGATACGTAACGAATACGAATAAAATAAATATAATAAAAGATTGATTAATCTCGAGAAAGTATGAGACTGTGCGAATAATGATGAACGTGAGCCGGATATGAACGAGCCTGTCTTTAATCAGGAAACGACGTCATCGGTGATGCTGCGACACAAGTTTTAAAGTTTCTTCTACCCTAAAACATAGTTGGTAATCTTACGGTGTTAAGTTGGTACGTGCCGCTAATTTTTTACTGCCAAATTTAACATATATATTTTTACGATCTAAACACACGTGTCCAAAAGTATATATATAAGTATAATGACATAAATACAATTTTGAAATTAATCTGTAATGTGTTCTCTCTATGTTCACATAATTTTTATAGAAGAAGACCATGAAACACTGGAATAAAGTCAATTTATTATCCTAAACATTAGTAATAAAATATAGCTTATTCGGTATCTTATATATTCCGTTTTCATTGATTATTTTTAAATATAAAAATGAAATAATTTGTTAAACAATTTAAAAAAAAAAAAAAAAAAGAAATATGATTAATATATTTCTATCTTATCGATCCCATAACACACATTGTATCATAAATTAATGAGAAAATAAAAAAGAATAACAATTAATGGTATGGTAAGTATTTAAAAGTATATAAATTATTGCAGATGAAAGAGAAAGATAGATAGAGAATGTTTAAATTTGAGACGAAAAGATATTTGCGTGCAGAGATAAACGTGGAATATAGTTGGTGAGTAGTAACAGCGGAGGTTCCCCGTCGCCTTCGCGCAATTATGTCCAATTGAAGCAATTTAGATCAATTGACGTTAACAGGCTCAATTGGTCGATCCTAACAGTGTGCACACTGCGGGTACATAGTTATACCATAAGCGCGGTCGACATACCTACGACGTAAAAAAGTCGCGATAGTCTCTACAATAATAATAATAATAATAATAATAATAATAATAATACTATTAATAAAAAGAAAAGAAAAAGAGAGAGAGAGATATATAAAACACGAAAAGACAAGATGTTTACGATTAGACTAATCTCTTTTTGCTCAACGCAGTTTTCAGTCATCTATATATATATATCTATCTATCTATCTATCTATATATACACACGCTGGTTAACTTAATTAATTATATTTTATATAAGAGTTAAACGTAGAGTAATAGTTATTTCAATAAAAGTTGATTTGTACAAAATCTTTGAAAAATGATGTCAATATTTTTACAAATTTATCCAATCTACACTGATCAACACACACGATAATTATGCGAACGATTATACACGCACACACTTATTTTATAAATCTTTCATCGATATATATATATATATATATATCGATAGTATATGTGTACATATATTTACCCTAATCGCACGATTTTCAATCGATATATTATTTGTAGAAAATGTTGAAGACAATTATTCACTAAATTATATGTCCTCCTTATCTTAATAAGAACCGAGTGGTATAGTGTTGCAAAATATATAATAACACATATATATATATATATATATATGTGTGTAATGGCTTATGGTATGTATATATATATATGTGGTATATATATATATATATGTATATATGTATATATATGTATATATATGTATATATATATATGAAGAAATCACTCGAATACGTCCGACTATATCCGTTCCTTGTAATGTAAGTGGGTATATACCTTCGGTCATGTTCGGCTGATTTCGGGGTGGCGCGAAACGCACGAAGTTGTTCACAAGTTTGAAGATCTTCGAAGGAATAAAATCTAACTGATGCGTATGTCTCTCTTCCTCTTTTTCTTCTCCTTTTTTTTTCTTTCCCTTTCTGTTTCTCTTTTTCTTACTCTTACCCTTATTTTCTTTCTTGCTAGCCGTTGAAATGATCCAAAACAAATCAGTATCTTTTTTTTTTATATAAGAATAGAGATTTTCCGATAGTTGTCGTAGGTGATTCGGATCGAGTCGGTTTAAGAAAAAAAAGAAAGAAAGAAAACTAAACAGCAAAGAAGGAAGAGAGAAACTAATAGAAAGAAGAAAACAAATAAAATTCCCCAAAAAATGGAAGGAGAGACGCGCGGAGGGTCAGTGCAGGAGGCGACCCGGTACTGCAGCGAGCCATCACCGGACCTTCACTTATATCGTCGCTCGGCTAATAACGCTAGTAATGTGATATGATTAGCTTAGTTGAGTTCGGTTTAGTTCGTATTCGTTCAATTTAGTGGTTCACCAGCAAAATCACATCGAGTTAAACCCATTTAGGCCAGTTAAGTTACCAACTTCTCGTTGTCTGTCGCCAAGCTTCTCTTTCTCACTCATATATTTATCTCTTTCTCTCTCTCTCTCTCTCTCTCTTTCACTTTCTTTCTGTCATTCTTTCAATCGGTTTGCATTTATATTGAACGAAATTCGCGGACTTGAACCAGCCGAAAGAATGGTACAATGTCTATGTATACTCGTCTGTAATTAACCGAAAGGTTCACAACGCATCGGCCGACACGGTTAACCTCGAAAGGGTTGAATTTCATTCCTACCAACGATCACGTTATGAACATTCTTTCTACAATTCTGTAATGATTCTCCGATGAAATTTCATTTTAATCGATGTTTATGAAGCTGATGTTAAGCAACGAAGAGAAAAGCTTATTGAAAAGTTCGAAGTGAGAATAAAAACAAAGATGGCCGTTGACGCGTGCCAGCAAGGGTTGTCATTGTTAGAGTCAATCACTCCAGAAAGAGAAAGAGATAGAGTTAGAAGGATGAAAAGAGTTTCACGATCGGCGAATAAATCTTAAACGCGCGATCGGATCAGTGGAATCTTCGAACAAAGTAAGCTTTGTTTGAATAAGGAACGCGACGCGCTCGCGCCCGAGCTCGCGCGCGCGCGTTCGCTAATTAGCGCCGATGAAATTAGCAGTTAATATACGCGTATACACACGGAATGGGGGTAGTTTGATTGGGCCAATTCGAGGCAATTCCTGGCGATTGCTGGTTTCATTGAGCCTGCGCTTAAGAGCTCAGTGCCATGCTGCCGGTCAACGGACATGGATCTCTTCTTCGAGGTTCTATCACTACTTTTCCGCTTATATATCTTATATATTTTCATCGTAGATCGAACGATCGATCGGTTACATTGATTTCAAACTAAATATCACATTCACTTACGATCTTACATACTTATAGGCCGGTGGTGGTAGCCAGTAAGTAAACACCTCAGTAACTAGTAAGAAGAATGACCAGGAAGAAAAAGAAAAGTGTTCATTATCGAGTGAGGAATGTTCAATTCGAGGAATATATCAGTGAAATGAAAGAAATAAACAGTTGTGATTATAAGATTGGGTGAAGTGAAGGTGGTGATAACATTGGTCAAGTTTTTTCGGCGGGAAAACTAAAAAAAGGGAAGGAAAAAATGGCGGTTTATGGTATCATCTGATTCTTGACAGAGAAACATATTATTATATAATTACATATATATTATTATATCTGTGTGTGTATATATATATATATATAATTCGATGGAGATGTAAAAGGAAGAGAAGTCATGTGGGAAATCCTCGATCGAGGCCAAACAGTTTTCGATTCCCACGAGAGTTTCGAGAGAAGGAGAGAAGCAGGCCGATTTGTGGAGGGCCTCTCGTATCGTAAAGTCCAACCCCCCGGGGGCGGAGGAAGAACAAAGAGCCATGGAGAGTGGCACGAGAGGCACGCAAAGAGAGAATACTACATCGGCGCAGGACGGTCGGCGCACACGAAACCTCTCCCAAGAGTAGGTGCTACATGATTGGCTAACCTCCATGTGTGGGGGCGGCCTAACGGCGCTTCGACGGCGGCCTCGTTGAAAATATAAGCCTGTGTGAGTGTCCCCTGATTAGCCAGAGTCAGAACGGATCGTCGATAGTGCGAGAGTCTAACTACGCGATACTAACTCTTTCTTTCCTTCTTTCTCCTTCTATTTTAATTTCTTTTTCATTTATACATTTTATTGTTAGAGTTTTAGTTGTTTTTTTGTTTTCAATTTATCATCCCCTTTTTAAGTCAGTCATTAAAAGAAAGAAAAAAAGAAAAAAAGAAGAAGAAAAAGAAAGAGATCGGAGATCTCTACTGGTCCGCAAACGTTCTTCAATTCATTTAATTCCTGTTAGTTTCGTTTAGTTCGTCTCCACGCGCTCATCGTTCTTCTCATTCTTCTTCGGTCCTGTTCACTTCCAAGGTCCTCCTCGTACTCGTTCCTCCCATTAGACGACTATATAATATCCGATGGACAACGGTCTATCTGTCTGTCTGTCTGTCTATATAACCGACAGTTTACTTCGTTAACTCCGCTTAAAACTAATCAAAATTAATCATAACCCGGCAACGATTGATACCAATTGCTTTGGATTCCATTAGAGGCGCCAAGCGGTTAACGATCGCCTTTCTTCCTATTAAAACTTTGCTTTCCTTACTAAAGAGGATTTTTTGACCTCCATCAAGAAGAAGGATAAGCAATAAGGATAAACAAGAAGAATAAGAAGAAGAAAGGAAACAATAACCATTGATTGAGGTTCTTCGTTTGGATCAATCCAGCAATCTTCAATTACTGAATTCATTCACTACTGCTGCTACTGATTATGCTGACGACGATGATAATGATATTGATGATGACGATGACGATGACGATGACGATAATGATGATGACGACGACTGTGTGATATAATAATTATCAAAGTGTTTTACTTGAGGAATCATACGAAGAATCTTGAAGTTATATTCTTGGATTATCAATTACATACGGAATAATGGACGGTGGTCCGTTCGACGATCCAATATTTTCCGACTTTAGTGGTCGAGGTGGTACCGGGGTTCACAGTATTCAAGTGATGCTGGGCTTACACAGCGGACATCATGGAAATGACTTGATGCCAACCGGTGGACATCTTCATAAATTGGATTCCTCAAATAGTCCACCGCCTCATCATCAAACGGCTCATCATCATTTGCAGCAACAACAGCAACAACAACAGCAGCAGCAGCAACAACAGCAACAACAGCAACAGCAGCAGCAACAACAACAACAAAAAGAATTGAAGGAATTGGAATTAGCTGGTATGTACGCACCCTTACCTCAAACTCCGGATGTAACAACATCGACGACGACCACTGCAACACCGACTTCTACGACTCTGCAACAAGGTCTTCAACTTGGTAATTCTCTAAAAAGGAAGCCGGATGATCCTATGAACTCTCTTGCCCCAGGTATGTGTATTTTATAATTTCCTCTAAATTGGAGTACCTAAAAAAAAAAATAGAAAATTAGTTTATCGTTAATTGGTTATATCATAGTGAGCGGTGAAACGCAATCGGCTAAGAAGGACTCGAAAAAGAAGACCGATAATAATGGAATTAAAAAGAAGAAAACCAGGTAGTTGATTAACTAACGTCGAAATATGATATACCAAGTATTCTCTCGCGTCCGAAACCCTTGTTCATCGAATTTATTCTTCAATCTTTTCGTGAATATTATTACAGAACTACCTTCACGGCCTATCAATTGGAAGAATTGGAAAGAGCGTTCGAACGTGCACCTTATCCTGATGTGTTTGCTCGCGAGGAATTAGCTTTAAAATTAGCATTATCGGAATCTCGAGTACAAGTTTGGTTTCAGAATCGACGCGCAAAATGGCGGAAAAGGGAACCGCCGCGTAAAACTGCCAGTTACATAGCTACCGGTTCTGGTAGTCCTGGGATCTCAGGTATTATAATTATTATTAAAATATATTGAATTAATTATCTTTTAAAATAAATTAATTAGAAAAAGAAAGGAAAAAGCTAAATTGCGCGTATTTGTTTAATATTTTCGTAGGTTCATTCCCATCTTTGAATAATACGTTAAACCCGTTTGCGTCTCCGGCGACAGCAGCAGCACCACCTGATGCTTGGACCTATACACCAGCTTACGATTTAGCGCCACATTTGAATCTTTTAAGTCCTTCCAACTCGCCATACACGACGTCTTTTGGTGGTCCTAGCAATAATGGATCGGCATACCCTTATGCAACGATGTTGCCTCAACACGATGCTTCCTTATTTTCTCCGCCTACCAGCAACACTATGCGCGTTCATCAAGATTACATGAACGCTAGTAATAGCCCACCACCACCTTTAACGCGTAATGATTATCAAACAATGGTTACTACAACTCATTCACCTCCTACTCATCTTGGTGGTTCAATGTCTGAAGATGAACATCAACAAAATAAACAGTTGGATTATGTAAGTGGTCTTAGTCCAGCTGATAAATATCAGCACGACCAAACGGATTATTCACAACAACAGCAACAACAACAGCACGATCAGAAACAAGAATATGGTATGCATTCACCGCAAGGACGTCAAAGTATAAAGGATCAGGTGATGGTCAAGAGCGAACCTAACAGCCAACAAAGTTACGTGCAGTTGCCTCCTTTTCTCAACTGACTCGAAAGCCAATTTCTAGATTTATTCTAGATGGCTTTTATCGTTACTACTCGGACTTTACCACGTGAATCATTGTGTCTAAAAACTCAAGAAGATCATGGTTTTTCTTCTCTTTTTAATGCGACATTCTTTATTTTTTATTACGCGGAACACATCTACGTAGAGAATTAATTTTTTCTACGAGAACACGAGACAGCTTTGCATACTACAAATGGTGTTTAAGATACTTTTTACACTTCTTTTTTCTTTTATTCTCACTTATACATGTTATGCAAATTAATATTGTTAGTCTATTATTGTTAGTCTATTGTGCTTTATATGATATATGTATGTATAGCAAGTTAATCAGCGTGTTTTTTCGTGATATATACGATTAAGTACTAAAATAATTGATCATTAAGAAATAAAATTTCAATTGGCAAATTTATTTGCCTCCCAAGTACGAATAGAAGTATTATGTAAAAATTATAAACTACTTTTTTTTTTATCATTGTGTGAAATACGAGAAATTCCGTCTTTGTCGCGGATTAATTTAATTTCACGTCAATTCTTAGTTGCAATTATTTCTATGGTATTAAGTTAATTAATTAATTAATTAAATAACTTTCCCTGTCGTGCGTTATAAAACGCATGCATATATTTGTAATAATGCATGCAAACGCATTAGGAAGCAAACGAAACAGTCGGATTTATTATCTAGTACTATATGTACGAATTTTATTTTACAATGTTTATTTCTCGTATTAAAATAATTTTGAAAATAAATCTAAATATTTAGTTAAAAGAGAGTGGGAGAGAATGGTTTGTTATTATCATATTTACCCACCCAATTTGTTTATACGATCTCGTAATTCGCACGATTATCTTTCATATTCGACAACTATATATTATCGGAAAGAAAAATGATACTTTTATAAAATATAATAATTAATATAATCCGCGTGAAACGTAATTACTTTTAATGCGTTTTCTTATTTTTTTTTTTTAGGAATGAACAAAAGAATAATCATAAAATAAAAAATAATCTTACATCTTAATAAATTCAAGATTTATTCAAAATATTAAAACTTTGATTTAGATCCAAGAATTCATTGTTATTCAATGATTCCATTTCTTTATTGCTTGTTAATTCATTATTATCCTCTATATTCCAAATAGCATCGCCAGTAAAGTGATTATTTTTCTCCATAAGATACAAGCAAAGCGCTAGTTGTTGAGACAGAGTATATTCCTTGCTAAACGTATCAGATTCGTTTATAGTTTGTAACGTTTTTTTAATAGTAGCCCTGAAAAATAATAAAAAAGTTATATTTGATAGAGATATTCGTTGCGTGAAAATGTACGGATATAAGAAAAATTATATTTGAGTTAGGATCAGTACCATGGATAGAGAATAATGTGAATATTACGACATATATCTTCTATTGAATAATATTCTTTTATATTACGCAATGTATCGTCTATATCAACGAATGATACTTTGTTCCAATATGGATGTTTTTTTAAAATATTTATCAAGTCTTCCTTGTCGGAACCCAGTTCTTTACATAAAATGTATACTATGTAAGTACCTTTTACACTGCAACTTATTTCGTCTTGCAGAAATCTATATCAAAGAAATATATCTCGTATTTATTAATTATATTACTTTTTTCTGTAAAAATCGTATTTAAATATATGTATATGTATATATGTATATATATATATATATATTATGATAATAATAAACCTATTACTTTTTAAAAAAAGAATTGTCGCTCGTAATTAGATGTGAGTTAGCCGATTTAATGTAACCTCTTTTACGAAGCAATTCAATTCGTTTGTTGATCGTGTTTTTATGCACTATGAAAAATAATATACGTTGACTTTTAAACCATACTCTGATATCCGGTGTAGTTGATAGTTCGTTTAATTTATCAATAAGATAATCATTATTAACTTTCAAAATTTTAATACAATATCTCAGAGGTTTTCCATCTAATTCATATTTTTTTAAGGTCAATAATACTTTTTTCGTATTTTCTGGATCGTAATGTAATATTTTATACCATTTTTTAACGACTTCTTGAAAATTGTAGTCAGATATTTTGTAATCCTTTAAACTATCCATTACGTATTGTGCATAATCCGGGCAAACATCCAAAATATGTAAATGATTTCTTATCTGCGTTATAGAAATAAATATTAATATCAGTATTAAGCGAATTTTTGATCATACAATATAATATTACTTACATATTCTAAATCAAAACCAAATTTATCTCTATAAAAATCTATTAATTTAGTCATTATTCTTATACTTTTGAACATAAATCCTTTATATTTTAATGGTTCGTCATTTTTGGCACCTAATTTATGTTGAGCGTAATATGAAAAACATGCTTTGTAATGCTCTTTCGTGGACACCGATTCATTCAATTTTTCGATGGGCAGCACGTTTGACAAATTTCCGTCTATGTGATTAATTATATTATTTATAATATGCTGCTCCTCTGGTATCTTTGTAATCGTTTTAAATTCACTTGCAGGTCGTCTCATGTAATGTGCCAATCTATAAAAGAAAAATAGCGCATTCATTTAATTATGTACATGCAACATTAATGTGTTTGCTAGCACACAACGGAGAAGAGATATCAACCACAGCTCAGAGCTTATTTTTCGCATTGATTACCATTGCAAATTTGTGCATTGTATATTTTTTTGTTTGTTTTTCAGTATAAAATTGGTGTATTGCAGATATGGTAGCGAATGTATAAAATATAATTTAATTTTATCCAATGAAATAAAACATGTGGACAAAGTAACAAATTGATATTTAATACAATTATAAACATACCTCCAAACTAAATTAATATCTATTTTAGGTACACCCAATTCTTGCAAAACAAATATTCTGTGTTTCAGTAAATGAGAATACATGACAAAGCAAGTGAATATATTTCTTGCAGTTTTTAACTCAACATTGTGTTCCTGAAAAAATAAATATGAAATATTAGGATATATGTATATATTATTAAACATAACCTCTTAAAATACTTTATTTGGAATAATAATGATTTTTTACTCACGTTACATATTTGACAATTTCTAATAATTCTTTTCTCTGATATCTTTAATAATCTTTCACTGTATAAATTAAACAACTGATCAATTTCTCTTGGTTCAACATGCAAATTTGTTAACAATACATTACGCAACTTTTCTTCTGACAATAATTTAGAACAAAAGAACCTATTTTTAATGTGTTTGTTAAAATGTACAGTTATTAATCTTTTAAACATTGATAAATCGCTTTAAAAATAACTTTTTTCTTTAGAATTGTTTGACATTTCATAAACTACTAATACACGTGATTTCGGCCAATCAAAACACAAACATACACTGACATCTAGAATAAATATGATGAAATAAAATATTCGTATATTATTATCGTTGATCGCGGTCATTTTATATTGTTGTTATTATTATTATTATTATTTAAATTATAAAAATTACAAGAATATAAATGTAGGGGAAAAAAATTACTTTTGTATACGAATATATGATATTTTAGTATAGAATTGATTTAAAAGTGAAATATTTTAAATAAAGTATCATCTTACGATTGAATTATTTATATTTTCTCTTTTATATCATATCTCTCTCTCTCTCTCTCTATCATTAAAATTAAAAAAATTTATTCAAAAGTATATAACCATATATTTTTAGATAACATATGAACGATTATAATAATGCAATGAATGAATATAATAAATATGAATTTTGTAATTATTTTTATTACTATTTCATTTCTCCTTCTTGTTTTTCTTTGAGTTAATATACTATATAACTACAATATTATTATATTATTATACCGTATAGTATGTATCAATCGTCGATTAAATTTAACTCCAATTATATGAAATGAGACTTGATAGATGTTTCTTTATCACCATGTAATATACATGGTTAATATAAAAGCAATCATTATATTTAGATACGTTTAAATTTCCGATGGTTTAATTCGTAGGATCACAGGCACGCTAGTGCATGGTAAAATAGCTAATTCTGTAACGACAGCTGTAACTAAATCTGCCGGTGTAACGTCATAGGTAATATTGAGAAGATTTAAACATTTTTTCGATCTCCAATTGTAAAGCAATGATTTGTTTGAATTACGATAAGTGCTCTTAGTTAAATCATCGACATTACCTAAAAAATAAAAACATAAGAAATAATAAAAGATACATATAATTTAACACGTTCGTTACTGTGCAAAAAGATTTCAATCACAGCCCAAAACTCATTTTTCGTGTAGATTACTGTCACAAATATGTGATGCTTGGTTCTCAATAGAAATGGATGTATCAGATATGCGATACTGGTAGTGAATATTTTCAGCAATTAATCAAATATAACTCACCTAATTCATTATGAACTATAGAATCTGTCTGTACACGTTCACATGATTTGTGTGTTTCGCACGCTACCAACACTGGTACGTTGAAAGATTTTGCCATTAAAGCTACTTGTGCGGTACCAATTCTTGACATTACTGCACCGTTTGCTAATATAGCATGGGCACCAAGAAATACTTTACTCACCTATGTAATCATAATTTTGTTATCTTATTAAATTAGTCTATAATATTTGTTTATAATATATTTGTCACTTAATATTTCCAAATAATTTAAATTAATTTTAGATTTAGAGAATTTTTATTTCAATTATGAGAAAATAAACTCACCTCTGGCATAACAAAACTAAGAGCATTAATCAATACGTATGAGCAATCAATTCCATATGTCGCTAAACGTCGCAATTGTTCTTTACCTTCCAACCATGGTCTTCCATCTACAATGATAACTCGAAATTGCTTTCCAGCTTTATGAGCATCCGTTAAAATTTTTTCAATTAAAGACGAACTAAAATAAATATTACTTTTTAATAAATTTAATAAAAAAAATATATACAAATAAATTTTATATATATTTTAATTCACTTACTATCCATATGTTAAAATTACATTTCCATTGGATATTTTTGTTTGTATAAATATCGATATACTTTCATCAGCAAGATGAATCTGTTCCACAATATAAGTGTCTATTAAACTTCTTAATTTGTGCTTTGCCTGAAATAAAACAAATGTTATTTATCTGTGTAACAATTAATAAAAATAAAAATACTTAATATAAATTAATAAGACATATTTACATCAGCATCAGAAGACGTAGAATCTAATTGAGTCATTTGCCATTTTAAATGGCGCAATGCATTTTGCATTGAAACAGCTAATGGCCTGCAGGCGTGCAAATAAGAAACCGATTCTTGCAATTTTGTTTCAAGTCCTCTAGTAAAATCAGTTTTTAATGGTTTGTCAAAATCTCCTATAAGCTGTTTTATAGCTACCAAAAACGCTACACATCTAGCATTACTACCGACAATAATTTTATTCTCATACTGTACACCAAGTTTTTGTATAGCTGGATGTATATTAAAATTAGAAGTGGAAACTTTATCCAAGGCAAGTTCTCTTTCATGATACAAATGTTTAAACAGATTTACTTCGTGCGTATCATTTTTCGTTGTTTTCTTTATAATCTTATTCGTTTTATTATCTACTGGATGATCCGCTGTAGCTGTTACAATTGCATTTGGTTGAATCATATTTGGTTTACTTTTAACTTTCATTTTTTCACCAATTTGTTCTTGTTTGGCAGTTCTTTGTGCTTCTTGTTTGGCAGCTCTTTGCGCTTCTTGTTTAGCTCTTCTTTCAGCACGTAATTCAGCCTTGCTTTTACCTTCCGATTTAATATTAACAATACTATCTTCTGTCATGGTATTGTTTGAATTATTTTCAGTTACAGACATATCATTTGATTCTGATATTATCACATTATTTGCTTTTTGTTTTTCATTATCGTTAGAAATATTATCTACTTTAATAGAAATATTCTGCTTGTCGGATTTATTAGCAGCAACTTTACCCTTGCCTTTGTTAGCAGCTTTAGCTGCCTTTCTCGCTTCACGTTCAGCCTTTATCTCCTCTTTTGTTTTGACCATACCGCTTGCTTTAGAATCCATTATTTTATTTGATTGTTCGTTTTTTGTGGGAACTGAAATATCTAACGTTGAGCTTACTGGTAAAATTAATTCTGTAGATTCTTCCAAAGGTTCTCTTTGTACGAGAGAAACTTGTGATGTTTTTTCAATATCTGAAGATTCTTCAGATAAATTTTGGACTACCAAAGAAGATTTATTATTTTTCTCGAGTAATATAGCATTGCTTTTACCTTCTGATTTAATATTAACAGTACTATCTTCTGTCATGGTATTGTTTGAATTATTTTCAGTTACAGACAAATCATTTGATTCTGATATTATCACATTATTTGTTTTTTGTTTTTCATTATCGTTAGAAATATTATCTACTTTAATAGGAATATTCTGCTTGTCGGATGTATTAGCAGCAACTTTACCCTTGCCTTTGTTAGCAGCTTTAGCTGCCTTTCTCGCTTCACGCTCAGCCTTTATCTCCTCTCTAGTTTTAACTGTACCACTTGCCTTAGAATCCATTATTTTATTGGATTGTTCGTTTTTTGTAGATACTAAATTATTTAACGTTGCGTTTACTACAAATGAAATTTTAAATGTTATATTAACAAAGTTTATTAAAATTACATAGATCATAGTGTATCATTTATACACATACCTGGTAAAATTAATTCTTTAGATTCTTCTAAAGGTTCTCTTTGTACGATAGAATCTTGTGAAGTCTTTTCAATATTTGAAGGTTCTTCAGATATTTCTTGAATTACCAAAGAAGAATAATTATCTTCTTCTAAAAACAACGTTTAATTAGAATTTGTTGATAAGTTATTCTTATCTAACATTAACTTTTCTCTGTCGACTTTATCGATTTTCACTTGTCAATAAGAAATTTTAACGCGTCAGTATTGATATCTGTTAAATAATAAAAAATATAATTAACTTACCATATTTTAACGGACAAGTCTCTGATCTAACAATATTTTCTAATGTTTGATCATTCAAGGATATATTCTTATTTTCCTCTTGATGATCTTTATAAATTGAGTTGGGTATAAACAAATAGTTCGGTCTCGAAGAATTATCAGATACAGGAAAGGAAGTATCCGACGATTGGACTACTTTAATATTACAAGACTCTAAATAAGACCTTTTTATACCCGAGCTATTTTTCGTACAATGAGTTTGTTCCTCTTTATTTATTGATTTTGGTAATCCTGAGAAAATAACTATTTGAGATGAGTCAGACAGATCTTCTGAGTCAAAGTTAACAAGTTTAGTAAGATAAGACCGCGAACTGTTTATATCTTGCTTGTTATAATTATATTCACATTCGATAGTATCTTCACTTTTTCTAATTGTTTTCTTATGATTCCCTAAGGAAAGTAATGACTGTGTAAAGAAATCTTCGATATGTTGCACATTATTAAGATGAGAATTAAAAGTATTCTGATTCGATTTAATACAACAGTTAGGTTCCAAATGTAGAAAATTGGTTGAGACGACAGATGTATCGCAGCAACAACATTCCAGTAACTTAGCCTTTTCCTTTTTACGTAATCTACGAGCCTTTGATTTGGTCAATTTACTTTTCTCACTATCAGAGTTAACTTCTGTTTCTTGATTAATCTTCTCATCAACTCCATTAATAAAATCATCCAGAAATTGATTTCTCGCTCTTCGTGCTTCGTTTAATCGTTTACGACGAAGATGTCTCGCTGTAGATCGCGTGATCACATTGGTCTGTCCATCTTCTAGTAACTAAAATTTAATTCAATTTCATTGTAACACCATTAATAAATTAAAATATATGATGCACATTTTAATATATATAAAAAGAAAACATACAAATAAATTATTACTGGAATTAAGGATAGACAACACCAAATAATAATAATAATTCTAAAACTACATATCAAATATCTACATATTACAAAAATATAAAATGAAATCAAAAATAAGAAAATAATCCCAATGTATTAACATTACACGTATATCTGATCATACATACTTGTTGCATACGCGTATATCAATATGTTACAACAACCATACATATCATATATACAGCTATATATACAAATATACAACCATATATACATATATATTAATGAACTAATTGTTCATTTTATGTTCCGTTAAAGAAAAACTATAATATCTTAAAATACTCTGAAAGAATAAAAAATTAACAATATCTGATTAAACTAAATTGATGATTATTAAGAATTGTTAATATAAATATATAAATATACATGTATGCTCTAAATATTTGTAGCAATGACTAAAATAACATATTAACGTTCGAATAACTTTTCATACTTCGCCACATCAAAATTATTTTTTTACATCTTCCAATAACACAAAATCCAATCTAAATACCGTGTTAAGAACTTGTATTATAAAATGTAGTAATTTTTCTACGCATGTAGTTACTAAATATAAACAAATAAAATATGTGAACGAGTGCAAAACTAAATAGAGAAAATACTGTATTGATTCATGCAAGAGATTATTGATACGTTAAAATATCATTAACATTATTATTAACACATTTAAATAAAATTAATTATTTATGACTTGTTTTAAATGGGTTAACACACCAAATAACTTTAAATGATAAACACACAAGGTATTTAGAGATAAAAAGATAGATATTACAAATTCATTATTACCAATCTATATATGTATATAAAGAATCAACAAACAAACTAAATAATCAAAAATATGAAAGATTAAAGAGAAAAATAAGTAGAAAAAATTAAATCAAATATCAAACTACATAGCTCATGTGTTTACTAACATTTTTATCTTGATCCATTGTTCCTGTATCAGTGTTTAGGCCATCGATTTATATACATTCCAGCTGTGAATTGCAAAGTATGGATTTTAAATCATTCTTATATTTTACATAAGAATTACATGAGAAAACATATCCAACGATATTTTAAGATTATTTTAAATAATACTGTATATACATATACATTTACAGATATATATATATATATATATATATATATATATATTTTTATATATTATTGACAAATTACATGTATAATTATACGATTAAAAATAATTATTATACGAGTTTTACTACTAACCTATTATTAAGAAACCGAACCTTTCTTTTAAGTGTTGCTACCAACTGTTTTCAAAATGACAAATATATTGTTAAATATTTGTTTCAATTGAATATTACCGATATAATAATTGATAGTTTTATTTCATTTTATAACCGAATTAATATAAATAAATAAGAATTTACCTTTGTTATAATGAAAAATACTCGACACCCTCGATACTATGCGCTCGTTAATACAAGAATACAAAATGAATTCTAAAACTTTTCGAAGCTACGAAACCTAAACATTAGTGACATCTGTGTTAGTTTTGAATCTAGTATTATTTCACTCATTCTAAATTGAAAACTTAATGAAACTAGATTTGTATAGTATTTTAATGATCTTTTCTGTCTATTGTATTCTCAAAATTATGAATTATATATATATATATATATATAAATAAATATATATTTTTTTGACATTATAAGATGCTACAAGAGATTTGTATAGTTTACATTTTTAGATTAATTTTAGTAGTATATAAAACTATACTAAATCAATTTTACTATAGCGATTTTTTTGTCTTCGTATTTATACAGTTCTATTCAATTCGATTAAATATGTATTACATGTAAAATCCATATTATCATAAGTCGGTAAATAAAGAATAATTTATATATGAGTTTAAAAAAACATTAATCATTTTCAATATATTTTATTTATACAAGGAAATGGTTGGTCTTAACAACTACTTTTTTTGCGCAGCTGCTGCTTCATCTTCTCGCTGATAGGATTGCATTAATTCTTGCTTTTTTGTAGCAATTCTTTCTGCTCTTCGTTTTCTAGCTTCACGTACTTTTGTACGACGTGCTTCAGCTTGGTCGGATAACATTTCAGCTCTAGCTTTCTCAGCTTTCTTTTTATGGATAAATTCCATCAATACTCTCTTATTCTTAAAAACATTACCCTTTGCTTTCATGTACAGCAAGTGATATAAATGTCGGTCGATTTTCTTAGTTTCCCGATATTTTTTTAGCAGACGTCGCAGAACTCTCATTCTTTGAATCCATAGATCCTGTATTATTTTATTAATGTAAATTAAATCCACATAATAATTTATACTTATCGTTATGATTAATATACAATCAAAATATCTATCAAGTTGATCCTTGCTGCTTGCAAAGTATTGAATTTTTTAACTCACTTTCTGAGGAGTTCGCGCATTAGCTGTTCCTTTTCGTTTTCCAAATCCGCAATGTCGACCTTTTCTTCTGGCTTCTGTGTTCTTGCGAACACGAGCTCTACTGTGTACTGCAACTGGTTTTTTAATAATCAGCCCATCCTTTATTAATTTTCGGATGTTCTGACCTATTATGAGAAAGAAAGTAGAGATATCTTTAATGATTGTAAATTTAATACTATTCTGATTATATATTATTTAATATATATTGAAGTACGACTAATAAACCAACAAATGAACTTACGGGAATTAGTGTTTGCTATTTCATTGACCTCGTTTGGGTCCAACCATACCTTCTTTCTACCACATCGCATAACAGAGGCTGCCAACCTCTTTTGTAATTTTAAAGAACTGCAAAAGTAGAAAATAAAAATGAAAATTCGTTTAAACATGAAGTGAGCCTAATCACACACACATATGTATGTACGTTCCTTATGTGAAAAAAATTGTTGAGGGGATTTAATTAGATCAACATCCGACGTCATTGTTAATAGAAACTATTACACTTTATGTATAAACCAAAATAGAGAATATTCATAGAAAAAGTAGAAAAAGATATGTATGAGAGTCAAGTATACAACCATGTGGTGATCCATCAACAACAATTAGACTTAGCAGATAAAAACAGTAATTATTTACCACACTCCACGTTATATAACCATAAAATATTCATAAAGCATTTGCTGAACTTATGTGATTATGAATAAAAATATTTATTTCAATTATAATAATAAAATAATTTAACGAAAGATTCTTACCTCATCTTACTGCATGTAAGTCTATCAATATAAAGAAAAACAAGATGGCGAACTTGTCACTTCCTTATAGTATCCAAACGGAAGTAAAACAATCGAGATATCGAACGATTGTACGAAAACGCAGCAAATTCAAATATAACACTTTTATTAAAATTCACATTTAATAATATAAAAAAAAGTAATAATATGATAAATATAATTATAAGAAAATAAATTCTTATAAAGTTTGTTTGTATAAATGAAAGAATAACGTTAATAAAAATATGATTTGTGTTGGTAATATAGGAATGTGATATTACCGAAGAAGGAAACAGTAGAATAGTTGTTAAAAATTCCTGTCAGATGTCAATCGCTTATGTGTTTTCATAGAAAGGAATGATAGAAAAAAAAAAGAAAAAAAAAAAAAATGCTAATAATTTTTTCTTGTTAGTCAGAGAATGGAATATAACAGCGCGCATATCATTATTAGCAACTTTCTGCTACGAGTTGTAATTACGATTGCTTTATAGTGAAATAATGTACTGAGTAGTGTTGGGAAATGTTAAAATTTTAATTGTGAGTTAATTATATTTGTACATAAAATTTTGTCAAAGTGTCAAGATAAATGTATTATATATATATTTATATAAAAACAGTAAGATAAAAAAAAAGTTATTTTAAGCGGAGAAAGAATTTAAAGATATCGAGATTTTTAATTTAATTTCGTATGAATTAGAAAATTGTATCGTATTTATTGTACAAAAACAACAAAATGTATCAAAATAAAATGATAACTATAAACGAGGATTTGCTACGTGAACGACAAAATTGTACATTTGATCCAAAAGAATTAACTGTTTGGCTAAATGGTAGTCCTGAGAAAGTTGCTCAACGACACGACTTAGGTTTGTATAAAGTATATTTTTTTCTATTTAAACAATATTATTACTATGTTTGTTCTTTTCTTTTTTCTCATTTTCATATGCATCATTTCATTTGATCGTTTCATTGATCCACGTCATCTACGTGATTTCTCTAATCTTATCTCGTTTATAAAGAAGTTATTTTATATTAAGTACTATTTTTATTTTGAAATACAAGATTTTTTAAACTTTCATATAATCGGGGTCAAGATCCAAATATGAGAATATTCTTATAATTGATTTCCTCTTCCTTTTTCCATTTATAATTGGTACATATGGAATGAACAAGGAAAAAAAAATTAAAAAGATAAAAATAAATTTAAATTCAAGAATTTGGTACAAGAAGAACTTTCTATATACAGTCGTAACTTTCAAGGTTGTTTACTTTCAAATTATAATTTGAATACTCGTTGAATATTTTCTTTTTTTAATTTTTATATCTACGTGTCCTTCACTTTGTTCTTTTTTTCTTTCAAATAAAACTTTAAAATTTAAAAACTTAAAATAAAATTTATTTTATTTTATTTATTTTGCTTGAAAAAATTTCCTTGTAACAATTAATACGATTTATTACGTAAATGGTATAATGTCATAAGAAAAGAATAAAAAAATATTATTAATCATTTCAACACTTTTTTCCAATTTTTTTTGCATATTTTTGCGTGTACGTCAAGTAAAACAAACGAAGAGAAAAAGTTAAAACCCATTTTTTATTCTCATTGATCATGTAATATCTGTACTTTGCTTCATTATTATTTTTTGTTCTATATAATTAAAACCTATGATATTATGTTTACTTGCTTATATTATTGAAAAAATACTGCATTATTGTTGGAATGACTCATCAATATTTTTATTTTCAATGATATAAATAATGTAAGTTATTTAATTTTATCTTTCTTTTTCTATTTTGATTTTTTTTAATATGATTATATGA